CTATCTAGAGGCAGAGCCAGCTGTACCCGCCCCCTCCCCTGTCCGTTCTGCCAGTCAGCGCTGGGAGGATCGGAGCGGGGAGAGGGGAATCCAGCCCCTCCCGGCACGGCTCTCTGCCGTGAGGATGAGAAGTGAGCGAGCGCCGCTATGTCTTCTCTCACTTCCCGATCTGAGCCGACCTGTGACAGTCTCATTGTCACCCCGAACTATGAGGTGAGTGACAAGCCCCTCCCCCCTCATAGTTCTCCTTTAAGTTGGAAAGGATAGAGTCCCAGGCTCTTTTAAGCAAGACCTCCATCTTCTTGTCCAATGACTCTTTGAGAACACCCATATCTTCAAAAGGCCAAATCTGACCTCTTGGACACCTTTGCCAACCCAGCGTCCAGTTTGGGCGTCTTGTTCCACACCAAAGCCGGGTCATCGTCAGACGGGAACCTCCGCTTGAGATGAGTGGACCCGAGAGGCTTCTTCTTCTCCGGATCCGCCCATTCCCCGACTACTGCGTCTGAGAGGACCTTATGTACAGGAAATAGATGACACTCGGATACATGAGACCATGGCGAGAAGGAAGCACCTGCTCCTCATGGATCTCCAGAGTACTAGAAATAGCAGCCAGCAAATCATCTCCATCCTCCAAGGACACTTCCTCCTGGGCGCTGAAATCTTCCCAAGAAGAATAACCATGAGAGGGGCCGGCTTCACCGAGCTCCTCTTCAGATAACCCCCCCGATCTGGGATGTGCCCGGCCGCAGCTGGTGCTGACCTGGCACCGGGGTAACCTAAAACTGACCTGAAGGATTGGAAGGTAGAAGCTAACTCCTCCTTAAAAGGAGAACTATGAGGGGGAGGGGCTTGTCACTCACCTCATAGTTCGGGGCGACATGTGACAATGAGACTGTCACAGGTCGGCTCAGTAGATCGGGAGGTGAGAGAACACATACCGGCGCTCGCTCACCTCTCGATCCTGTCACTGCTCTCTGCCGTGACAGGGGAGGGGCTGGATTCCCCCCTCCAGCGCTGACTGGCGGAACGGACGGGGGAGGGTACAGCCTCTAGATAGGCAGAGCCAGCTGTCAGTCACAGAGTTGGGCGGATCCAGACATAATTATCCCGGCTGCGGCGTCTCAGTATACCGCGAGCTGTAGCTCCCTATACACTGAGCCTAGGGTGACGGGAGTTTGTGTCCCCGAGGAGGACTATGGGGGGGGGAAAGCCCCGCCCTCGTACTTCTCCTTTAACTGTTAAAATATTACCACAGGCTGCCGAGGACTCTTCCTTAAAGAAGGTCGCCAATACACTTCCGACACAAGGCCTTTGCATAGGTAGAGCCCAGCTAGCAACCGCAAACTTCTAATTGCCACCTTGTCCTAGCCTGAGAAACAGAAACAAGGAGGGGCTAAGCTCCAACCCCAAATATCAGGGAAAAAAAGAGAAGTGCCCCTCAAAACAAAAAGGTCCGGCCCAAGGAACCCCCCGGGTGGAGACAGGAAAACAGTCAGAGGAACCAGGTTGGTGAAGGTAAAACCTGTGCCGGGCTGGTGCCTGAAGGAACATCCTCGCCAGTGCTGCCTCCGTCACTACCGAGAATGAGGCACTTACCAGCCAAGGCCCTCCCCTTCCCCCTGCGCCGAAAACGAGGCTTGGAACACACAGCCTCGGCGCCCGGAAGTGACGTACGCGGTCACCCGGTCCGGCCGTGGAGAATTCTCCCGGAGACAAGACCAGCCCCTCTGACCGGTGGCACCCTCTCCCCGCCACGGAGCAGCACCACTCCGGTCCTCGCCGGGCACTGAAGGGGGAGAGAGAGCCGGCATACCCCCTGCAAAGCTGGAGGCCCAAGGTAAGCTACGTTACCTACTTACAAAGAGAACCCCCCTGGCATCTGCCATACGGAGGCTCCCCGCGTTCCTGTGACGCGCACCCTCAGGTTGCCCGAGGAAATACAAAGACTGATGAGCTGGTTAGAAGGCGGACCTAAGGGTGACTTGTTTCCTGTGGGATCGGGAGGAGCCTCCACATGACGTCGG